GACCCCTGTGAAAGGGTCGTTCGACCCCCAAAGGGGTTGCGACCCACAGGTTGAGAACCGCTCTTTTAGACGCTCTGCTCCCTTCCTTCCCTAGCACCCATTTCATTTGCAGCGCCATCTAGAGTTACAGCGCAGCATTTACACAAGTTTTATATCAAATTTAAAAAATCACTCACTCTTTTCCGCGAACATTCTGCACTAATACTTGAGGGTGATTGAGAATGATTGGAACCGGCTCGTGCGCACACCCTCCCAGCTGCCGTCCGGGGCCCTGCGCCGCGTCCGCACGCCCATCCCAGGCGCGTCTTCCGGGCAGGCCAGCAGGACCTGCTAAGTCAATTACCGTTGGGCAGAGTGTATCTGAAACCTCTTATCTGAACAGTGAACCCAATAATTTAATCAGTCTGTCCTTAATTAATCCCATTCTAATCCATCTGATACTGGCCCCGGAAAAGCTCTTCGTCTGTTTCTTATAAAATGTATCTGGGCGAACGCACAGCTGCTGTGAGCTCTGAGTATAAATAACTGGAATAGGAGCCCGGCCGGCGTGGCTCAGTGTTCAAGTTGACTTTTCTCACAACCAAAGTGAGTCCCGATTGTTATCACATACATCAGGCGTTAAGGGATCGCCATTATTACTATTATTATTATTATTCTCCAGATCACATGACCACCCCTGGATTCTGGCCCCGTCTCCAGTGTAGACTGGGGGCTGGGCACCAGTGGACAGGTCACGCTAGTGTCTCGAAGGCCTGGTTTAGTGGGAGCAGCAGGAGACAGAGTGTGAGGACCAGTCTGTTTTACTGTTTTCCTTGTGGATGGGGAGGTTGAAAGTTCCTGAGGACAAATGGATGGATTTGGTCACTCATTCAGGTTTTTGGGTGCTGTCTTTAAATTGATTTTAGAGAGGAAGGGAAAAGGAGAGAGAGATAGAAACACCAATGGTGAGAGAGAATCATAGACCAGCTTCGTCCCACACGCCCCCTACTGGGGATCGAGACCACAACCCCAGGCATGTGCCCTGACCAGGAATCGAACCGTGACCTCCTAGTTCGTAGGTCACCGGCCAGCCCTGTCTTTCTTTAAGACACCAGGAGGGGAAACTTGATGCATGAAGAACACCTTGTCATCCTCTCCATTTACCCTCCAGAACAGCCAACGGGAGGTGATTCTGACCATTATCAAGTTTATTTTTGAGAGTAATCAAATATTAATATCCTTAGTTCATGAGAAAACAAAATGTTAGAGACCTTAACAGTGGAGTTACCGGAAACTGGGCCACTGTGAAGGTTTATTTTACCTCTCGCTATTCCCGGGGTAGCAGTACACGGGCTGGTAGTAAGGGGAGATGCTCCTAAACCGGGCGTCTGCTGTTCCACTCATTGGCCACGCAAGTCTCCTGTTTTAGGGAATGACGTAGAGTTACGTCCCACATCTGTAGAGAGAGATGTCTTCCCGCCAACAGTTTATTCTGCAGTCCATTTCATTTCTGACACTCTAGCTCAGAAAACCAAGTCGTTACAAGATTTGTTTGTCAAGACCAACCAGTTCACAGGAGAATCTTGGATGTTGTAAAAGAAACAGACATTCCAGAGATTTAAGTGGCGGGGTTGCAGGTATGCCCGTTACACGTTCTCGGTAGCTTATAACAGCGCTCACTGTGCTGCCCGCATCTCTGTGCGGATTCCTCACTCCCGCGGGGGTTTCTGCCTTTCGGGGATAACGTGTCTGTAAGATTGTCTGTCACTCGCAGGGACCCATCCTTCCCCGCCTTCTCTCCCAGACCTGCCTCTTCCAGCAGGCACACTCCTACATCATTTTTAATTATTCTCTTGCTTATGCTTTGCCACAAAAGTATGTCTCACTACACAATATATTGTAGTGCTTTGCTGGTTTTAGGTATCATATCCTATGTATTTTCCCCCACTTTGCTCTTTTCATTCAATGACATCTCTCTCTAAAATGCATCTGCTCTGATACAGTAGCTGTGGTTCCCTCGGTACATTTTATTTTTTATTTTCATCCAACTCTTTTGGACCCCATTTCTTTTCCTCGTCTCTTAGCAAGTCATCGCCGCAAAGGGTCCTTTCTCTATGTAGTGAGACCATGGTGACTATCTCAATCCATTGGTAACCATGGAAACAACTGTAGTCTTTTTAGGCTAAGAGAGGTCAAGTAAATGAACTTAAACAAATATAATCAGTCTGTTTACCATTCAAAGCTCTTTGCTAACGCTGAAATATCGCCGTCGTCACTTCAAGGTCAGAGGTCACCCGCACTCCATTTTATAATTAGTGACAATGTCACACGGAGCAGAATAGCGCCTCCGCTTTCTTACCTATGGCCATCCATTTTCAAAAATCTGAATATGGTTCCTGCATCGGGGTTAGAACTAGGTAATTCATCTTCTCTGCTATAGAGAATGAGCTCTTATCTGTTCTAACGGCTCTGGAATGTGTTTATTTGTTACATTAACTCCCTGAAGCAATGCTAATATGACTGAGCTACTAAATATTAAAGCAAATTATTATCTTATAGAATTAAACCCAAATTCTAGTATTCCCAGGTCAAAAGCGTCAGTAAGTTATTGCCCAATTATTGAAGCTCTAACTCTAAACTCTAATCAAATAACCAGGGATAATTGGTCGAATCCAAGTCTTCATTCATCTTGCACTTAATTTAAAAATTCCAAGAAGCCTCCAGCCAGTGGGGAAGGTTTTCAGCAACGCCGTAGCAAACATAACTGCATTGGGAACGTACGCTGAGAATAAACTGTCTGTGGCTGGTTTATGGCTGGGTGAGCATGAATCTTGACACTTTGGTTGAATTTGGAATAGGCCGTATTTTAAAATTGCTATGATGGGTAGTTGATAGGTTCTACACAGTAGGCATCTGTAATTTGGACTGTTCTTGTTTTTTTTTAATACATTTTTATTAATTTCAGAGAGAGGACAGAAGAGGGAGAGGAAAAGAGATATATATATATACACACACTAATACACTAATACACACACATACACACTATTACATACACATACACACACATACACACACACTATTACACACACATACACACACATACACACACACTAATAAAGCGCTAATATGCTAGTGGTCGGGACGCCATAATGGGTAACGACCAGACCATTAGCATATTAGCTGGGGCATTGCTCTAGAGATCAGAGAGACCCAGCCTTCAAGGCCAGCCAGCAGGAAGGTCTTAGAAGCTCCGGGGGAGCGAGGTCAAGCTCACCACTTGTGGACAGGTGTCCTAGGACCACAGCTGCACAGCATTCGAGGTCCTGTCCGGGGGCTGCGCAGCCTCCATGCACCGGGGTGCAGGGGTGCAGGAATCAGGGGTGCAAAGGTGCAGGGGCGCAGAACTCGGGTGCAGGGGCGCAGAACTCGGGTGCAGGGGCGCAGAACTCGGGTGCAGGGGCGCGGGGGTGCAAACTCGGGTGCACGGGCGCAGGGGCACAGGGACGCAGAGCGTGGAATGAAGCATTTGCAGCGACAAAATCCTGACCCACAGGCTTCAGCTTCCCAGAGTGACTCCATTAAGATCCTGTAACAAGGCTCCCTAATAGCAAATCAAAGTGAAGCTGGGGATGTTGCCCACAATGACAATAGCCGTGAAAAGGCTTAATTAGTAAAACATTAACTGGCAGGGTTCCTATAAGTAAAAATGTACATATTTAAGGAGGCTGATTGTAACATTTATCCCAGCTATGTTATAATATACTAATTCGAATGTAAAAGTGAATGTAAATTACCAGGAATTATCATGCAGCGGGAAGAAAAGTCCTTTTATCCTCAGCAACTGTAGCATTTGGCAGATTCGGGAATAAATAATCTTTTGTGGCAAGGGTATGCCTTATCAAACATATGCAGATCAGTACTAATTAATGCTAATTAAGGTTTCCTGTCTATCTAGTTGGAAAAACGTCCAAATGTTATGAAATCCAGTTAGGATGCCTATTACGCTAATTGTTTTATATGGGGTGGTTCTTAATTAAAATATGTAAATTGACCTTAATTGCTATCTACTAATGGGGGTTCATGTTAGCTCCCTAGAAGTGACAAGATGGTGAGGAGGGGTACTTAAATGACTAATTCTGATAAAAATCCTCCACTAAATGACCTTTACTCAAAACTAATTTTAATTGGAAGTTGGCAGAAGAAACCGTTTTCTTCTTTTTTCCTTTTTCTTTCCGTTTTTGCTAATGTGCGCATGTTATTCTGTTTTGTTAAGCTATAGACGTGGTGGTGGGTCGTTAATTAGCCTTAACAAGCAGGTTAATTGGGCGGTTTACTGTTTATAGAGCTCGGATGGTTTGGTGTTGGCAGAGTGGGTTCTCGTGGAGTGGGGGGTCCTAGCTGGAGCCCTGGGGTTGGGTGACCCCGTTAGGATGTCAGGGTGTGTGTGAGCGCTGGGGGAGCCAGCAGTACCGATATGTACTTGTTGGCTCAGGTACCCGAGAACTACCTTTTAGGAAAACATTTTTTCCCTTTATAAGCATTAACTCTTACTCATTGGAATTAAAATCTCATTGGAAATACTTGGATTAAATGGGCTGAAATGATCCTCTTTACATGTTACTCATCATGTTTTTATTATTCAATTGCAAATAAATTCACATGTGTAGGCCCAACACCAGTAAAAATGAATTTTTTTTTTTATTTCTTCTCACTCTGCTGATCTTATCATCACAGGATGTCATTTAAATAAAGCTAACAAATAACTGATTTTACTCTTGCATGTGGAACGAGTTAAGTCTCCACTATTATTTAGAATATATTTTAGTGGGGGAAAGGGGACATAGGTAATACTTTCAACAGTAAAGATTTTTTTTAAGTGTTGATAAAATATATTTTAAAGTTATCCCCTAAAGATGTGAGCAGGGACTTGGTAAAATCCTGTCCCGTGGAAATGCGCGTAGAATGAAGATCACAGGTTTTCTGTGTCAGACGGGGGCTCAGTGTCATTACTCTTTCGTTAGGACATCGTGACGAACGTCTCGCCCAGAATCATCCGGGGGACCACCTCCGGCCCCTCCTACGGCCCCGGGCAGAGCTCCTTCCTCAACATCGAGCTCATCAGCGAGAAGACGGCTGCCTATTGGTGTCAGAGTGTCACGGAGCTCAAGGCTGACTTCCCGGACCGCGTAAGTGTGATTTAACGTCTAAAACTAAAGAATTGGCATTAAGTTGGTGAATGTTTATTTAAACATCAATTCATAGGCTTATAAATATTAATGCATATAGTATATTTTATTAAAGCATCTGCCAGTGGCTTTGCTGATGCACAGAAAGATAAAAAAGAAAGAAAAGCCCGAGAACTCATAAAACCCCGAGCCGCGCGGGGCCTGGTTATAAATGAGGCCGCGCGGAGGGAAGAGGCATCTGCATGAGTGGGGGGAGCAGCAGGAAGGAGCCCGCTATTGGGTTGCTTTCCACTCTCCGTGGCTGGTGCTCATGAAGGTGGCGACCTTCCCGAGGAATTGCAGACTCTCAGTCACTGTAAATTCGAACCCGAGGGCAGGAGCTGAGGATCTGCTTGTAAAGTTTATTTCTGTGTTTTCAGTGGGAAATAATTTGCCAGATAATTTTAACACCCTTCACACTAAATGAGTCAATGATCTTTTTACTTCTAAAGTCCCGAGCACAAATATTACAGTAAAATCGGGCTCACACATTCTTTGTGGACTTTTCTATGTCGCCTGTAGTTTTTTACCCTGTAGATAGTATTTTCTCTTCGATAATTGGTTGGAGTTGTTCTTAACGTTATTCATTCATTCTCTCTCTTTCCCTCCTCCCATCTCTCCCCCTCCACATACACAAATGAACACATACATCGCTCTCTCTCTCCCCCCCCTCCTCTCCTCTCTCCTCTCTCTCTCCCTCTCCCCCTCCCTCCCTCCCTTCCTCCCTTCTTCCCTTTCTGTCTGAATGAGCTGGTGGTAAATTAAAGTTTAGGGCAGTGTGTGCGTGTCTGTGTGCGCACGCTCCCATGTGTTTTGTAGAAAATCCTTTTTTTCATCAGTTCATGGAAGATAAATAAGAATACTTCAAGTATTCTAATGATATATATTTTAAAATCTAATGAAACTGTGGATGTTCCCCCCAAAAAACTGATAGAAGGAAAACTTACAAGGGACTTCGGATATCCCACTGTTGCCTGAGCCATCCAGTCCTATTTTCTTATAGGAAGCGCTTACCTTGAAACAAAATGTAATAACGTAGAACATAATTCATCTCCCTCGAGTCGGCCTTTCGGACGTGCAGGGACCCAGACCCCCCTGAAATCTGTAGCTTCCGCCTATTTGGAGTTTTTCATTTTCTGGGCTTGATCTTGCAATTACTTGTGTTTTTTCATTATGCTGTCGTGTCTAATGACCACCATGTTGAGTTATTTGAGTTTTAATGGACACAGATCTTTGGGGAAGCTTTTCTCAGAACGACACAGACGAAAGGTAGTCAGCCATAAAAGTATTCAGTATATTGTTGACCTTGGTCTAGAGCAGGGGTGGGAATGTCTGACCTTGCCAAGGCATTTGGGTGAGTTTATTAAATGTTTGACTAAACAAAGAAGGCTAATTTCTAAGTTGATCATTTTGTATGGCCAGAGAACGATGCTATCAATATCCAAGTGACCCTTGGCAGAAAAAAGGTTCGCCACCCCTGGCCTAGAGTATTAAGTACTATGCTAGGTACTAAACATGCAATAAAATAATAATGATAATAATCTATATATATAAAAGCCTAAGCAACCATTCGACCTTTTGACCGGTAGCTATGACGCACAATGACCACCAGGGGGCAGGCAGTCTGACAGGTAGGTCAGGTTGCTGCTGGGGCCCTGTCGGCCCTGAATCTGGTTCACCTGCACCAGATCCCCTTTCAGTGTGCACGAATCCATGCACCTGCCACTAGTAATAACATTTATACAGCATTCACTCTGTACTAAGGAAGGTCCAAATGCTTATACACTTGAACACTCATTTAACCTGATTTAACCTGTTGGGAACCTTATCGGACAGGTACAGTTATGTCCCCCACTTCACAGATGAGGGACCGAGGCACACGGAGACGGTTACACAGCAGTTCGACGCTGAAGCCAGAACTTGAACTGGCAATTTACTTGTCGCATCCCTGCTCCTGTCTCATAACAGTGTCCTCTCCATAGTACGTCAGGCCCTCAGAAGTTCAGGCTCACTTTGAATGCAACGTAAGGACAGCATGAACTATACTTGCCCAGGGATTGCTTCGGTAGCATTTAGATCAGTGATGGCAAACCTATGACACGCGTGTCAGAGGTGACACGCGAACTCATTTTTTTTGGTTGATTTTTCTTTGTTAAATGGCATTTAAATATATAAAATAAATATCAAAAATGTAAGTCTTTGTTTCACTATGGTTGCAAAGATCAAAAAATTTCTATATGTGACACGGCACCAGAGTTAAGTTAGGGTTTTTCAAAATGCTGACACGCCGAGCTCAAAGGGTTCGCCATCACTGAGTTAGGGAAAACCGCCCTGAGCTAGGGCCTGTCTTGAGCTCCCCTCCCCGGGCAGGAGCCTGAAGTCAGGACAGTGGGCCCCTGTTAGGAAGCGACGGGAAGTAGATGAGGAAGCCAGGACGAGGAGGCCCTGGTGGGTGGTTCCAAGGTCAGATGGGGAGGAGAGACCGTTCATATGTTCTTCCCATCTCCCTGGAAACCGTTTTCTTCTCCCCAATGCCTTCTCTCCTGAGAAAACAGCGCGCGCTTTTCTGGCTTCCAGTTCTCTGACCATTTCCATGGTGCTCCGTATTCTCTCGATGTGTTCTCAGGGCTAATTTGTAACATTCTCACTCCCCATAGAAAAGGCAGCATTTTAACGTTTAACGACGGCTTCCCATTCGGACCCGGGCGAGTGGCCTGTGTGCACCGGACGCATCCCCGGGGCTGAGGGCGGACGGCCCCCACCGCCTCCGAGTCACTCTGATGACAAAGGCCGGGAGCTGCCTGCGAGCGGGGAGCCCTCCCTTTTCACGTTTAATTATCACTCGCACTGCGGTTTTCCCACCTCATTCTCCACCGCGTGCAGCACCTTTAATGACAGGGCCTGGGTAAAGCCACCCCCTGTGGCCAGGGCTGAGCAAGGCTAACCTTTTGGAAGAAGAGGAAGGTGCTGGGGGCGCGGAGGTCTGCTGACGCCCTGGGCCGGGACCTCTGCCTGCCGAGAGGCGGCCCGGGCCCAGGGCTCAGCTGGAAGGTGGGGGGAAGGCGTCCAGACCCTGACGGCGCCATGAGGGCCGCCACCCAGCCGCCGCGGCCACCCCGCAGCCTGCACCCGGCCAGCCTGCTGCTCGGCTCTCAAGGTTGCCTTTTCTTTCCCTGTGAATTCGACTTGGCACAGTGATTCTCGTGGTGACAATTTATTACTAACGAAGAGCATTCTTTTTTGTTCCCAAGCTGCAATTTGGCAAAGCTTATGAGGAGACGTACTGTATAATTAGGGCTTCCAAGAATCAACGTTAAGTGCATCCTTTATTCTCCCTGCAGAAGCCTTAGAAATCATCTACTTTAGGCTTGGAAAGAAAATGTTACCCTCCCCCCACCCCAAAGACAATAAAACGCATGCTGCATTTTGTCCGAATGCACGGAGTTAGCGAGCAAAGACTGACATCTCCATCCTGTGTGGAGGCGAAGGCCAGAGTTCAGCACGAGATGGGGGCTCAGCCGGCCTCAGCTGGTGCAGACAGGGAGCGGGTGGGCTTTGTTAGATAAATTAACGAAGGGGGGCAGCGGGCGTGTAGATGTGTTGCTGGGACAGCGCCCTCCTCTGTGGTCCCCGCTCTGCTCATCACTGGGAGGTCAGCGCTGCGCATGAGAAGTCGTTCTTCGTCAGGACGCCAGGAGGCGCTGTTCCCACCAGTAGCCTCTGAACAGAGTCTCACCAGACGCCCTAGGCACCCGGTGAAGCCTACAAGCCCTTGTCTGAAAAATGTTTTGATGCGTAAAAATAAGATAATAAAAAAATAAATAGATACAATGTAACTGTGTAAATTACAAACTACATATTAATAACACCAACAACATAAACTATATCCTCATCTCCATAAACCAAACAAAAAGAAGGACATTTAAAGAAATCGGAAGATCTCTTCCTAATGTTGAAGCGATCTCAGGGAGCTGAAAACACAAAGGCAGCTCCTGAACCTGAGACCAGCGTCAGCGGACAGCAGCCACCGTGGTGAAGGGTCACAGACTGGCGGGCCGCTTCCTGAGAGAAGCAGGTGGCTTTGCCACTTCCGTTCCCACCGGGTTCGAGTTCCTACCCTGTTCAGTCAGAGACGGGAGAGAAAGAAGACGTGGAGGTGTCTATCCACAGATGGTTTAGGCAGAAACCTGCTTGTACCAGGAAAAGCCACTTTCTTTACAAGAGGCCTCCAGCCTATGGGCTTGTTGCTCTCCAGTTTGGCTTTTTAAAAGATTGCATGAGAGTGCTGTTTGTCTTCACGGCTCACTTTTCCTGTCCTCCCTGCCACCCTGCGCTCCAGGCCAGTGCCCAGCTCGCCTCCTCCTGGCCTTGGCCTGCGGCGGATCATTGTAAATAATAAATGAGCGGAGCAAGGTTGCAAGACGCGGGATCAGCTTAGGAAGGTCATTTGTACTTTTTTAATACACAGCCAGTAGACAGCTGGAAAGGGAAATAAATGCATTGTATTCTATCAAGGTACCAAGAGCAGCAAAAACATCAAACGGACCCATCTGACAAAGAACTGAAAGACAGGGGCCCTGGAATCCACAGTCTACTGCTGACAGGAATTCGAGACTAAAGAAATGGGGGTTCTGTTGTTGGGGGGCAGGTATCCCCCAGATTGATCTAAAGACGATGTGCATCCCAACCAAAACATCGGCACGATTGTTGGGTAGAATTTGTTGAACAAGTTGATTCTGGAGTTCGTATGAACATGCAAAGGGCTCACAGGACTCACTTCAAAAGGAACCGAGTAGAAAGTCTTCAGTGTTTCTGATTTCACGACGTATTTGTAACCACAGCGATGTGGTTGGTGTCAGCATAAAGACAGACAGGAAACCAGATTGATGAAGCGGAATGAGTCCAGAAAACAACCACAAAGGCAGTCGGTTGCATGAATGATTTCATTTTTGACAAATACA